CAGCCCTAGAACATCACCGAGCCACCACCATGCTTAACTGTAGACAGAGTGTTCTTTTCAACATATGCTTCAATCTTCTTCCTCCAGACATACCACTGATCCATTGGTCTGAAACGTTCTAGTTTTGTTTCATCGCTCCACAGAACAGAATCCCAAAACGTCTGTGGCTTATTAATATGATTTTGAGCATATTGCAGATGACTTTTCTTGTGCTTTTGGGTCTGTTGTGGTGGTGTACGTCTTGGAGTTCTGGCATGTAAGTAAACTTCATACTGTGCTCTGTTTCCACCAAGTCTTGCTTCAGGTCTTTTGCAGTCACTCAAAGATGTTTCACCACCTGCCTTCTCAGAATCTGGTTGCAGCCATTAATTTTGCTGCCCCATCCAGGAAGAGTAAAAACTGTTCCTTCAACTTTGAACTTGCGAAACATGCTTTCAACGGTTTCTATAAGAATGTTCAGTGCTTCCACTATCTTTTTGTATCCTGTTCCTTGTTTGTGAAGGGCGATGATCTCTTTTCTTAAATTGTGGACCATTCTTTTGACTTAGCAATATTTCTAACATGCAGTCAATCATGACACTCAACAAGTCCTTAGCCCGTTATTTCAAGTGTTCTAGCTCAAGCAATCATCACGTGTGCTTGACACAATACCTGTTTTGCATATATATGTGCTATTGTGAGGAATTATATTCACATTATAGTTTGTAAATATAGGTTTCTATAAAACTCTAAATTCAGGGGAAGATTTGGTGTCATAATTTTATACTTTATAGACTTAGAGTGAGACATCGGGCTGGTTTGAGAGAACCCATACAATTTACCCCTTGTTTTTTTGTCACCATGCAATGTCACTGACTGTAGGGTCAAAGTGGGCAGGGTAATGTATCTCAAAGCTATCTTGACACGTGTGCCTTCTAAAGTGCAAAATATTCTACAGAATTAAGTAATAATAAGTAATATCATGTCAATCAAAGAAGACAGGGTAATCTATTTGAACAGTTCTGCCACAAGCACATTATCAAACACATTCATATTTCACTGTTTTGGACACAGCTATTTGTGAAACCACTATTTCATCAGCCAATATGTTCATTTTTTATTTACTTTTTCATGTTAACCCCTTAAGGACGGAGCCAAATGTACACGTTGTGAACGAAACAAATGTAAACAAAACCTGGCATTTGCGCTACATGTCTGTCCAACCGTAATTCACCTCTTTCATATTAAATGCACCCACCCTTATTATATATCATTTTATTTAGGGGAAACAGGGCTTTCATTTAATATCAAATATTTAGCTATGAAACATAATTTAATATGAAAAAATGGGAGAAAATCAGATTTTTTAAAAAAAAATTTAGTTCTACATGACATTTTAACTGTCAATGTCATAATACTGTTTGCTTTTACTGCAGTAAAATACACATATTTGTATTCAGCAAAGTCTCACGTGTTAAACAGTACCCCCTATGTACAGGTTTTATGGTGTTTTGGGAAGTTACAGGGTCAAATATAGCACGTTACATTTGAAATTGAAATTCGCCAGATTGGTTACGTTGCCTTTGGGACTTTATAGTAGCCCAGGAATGAAATTTACACCCATAATGGCATACCATTTGCAATAGTAGACAACCCAAGGTATTGCAAATGGGGTATGTCCAGTCTTTTTTAGTAGCCATTTGGTCACAAACACTGGCCAAAGTTAGCGTTAGTATTTGTTTGTGTGAAAAATGCAAAAACGCCAATTTTGGCCAGTGTTTGTGACTAAGTGGCTACTAAAAAAGACTGGACATACCCCGTTTGCAATACCTTGGGTTGTCTACTATTGCAAATGGTATGCCATCATAGGGGTAATTTTCATTCTTGGGCTACCATAGGGTCTCAAAGGCACAGTAACCAATCTAGCGAATTTTAATGTGAAAAAAATGAAACTCAAGCCTTATATTTGATGCTGTAACTTTTTAGAACACCATAAAACCTGTACATGAGGGGTACTGTTGTACTCGGGAGACTTCGCTGAACACAAATATTTGTGTTTCAAAACAGTAAAAAGTATCACAGCAATAATATCGTCCGTGTAAGTGCGGTTTGTGCATGAAAAAGGCAAAAAACTTCACTTTTACTGGCGATATCATCATTGTAATACACTTTACTGTTTTGAAACACTAATATTTGTGTTCAGCGAAGTCTCCCGAGTAGAACAGTACCCCCCATGTACAGGTTTTTATGGTGCCTTGGAAAGTTATAGGGTTAAATATAGTGCTAGCAAATTAAATTCCCTTTACTTTCGGCATGGGTTGTCAGGCAGGTCCCGCTAATTGTAATTAATTAAGATACCTAATTATGTAAAAATATTATATAAACATATATGTAGAATTAATATATGTATATATATATGTATGTGAATCTATATGTGTATATATATATATAATTTTTTTAAAATATTTTTATTTATATATAGGTATATATATAGTGATATATACGTATATATTTATGTATGTAGATATATATATTATTTTGTTCTACGTGTATTTTGATATAAATATATATATATATTAATATCACAATACAGTTAGAACGAAATAACACACATCTATATATTTTTTAATTATTTTTTTAATTATTTTTTTAATTTTATATTTTAACGTATTTACATATTAATTTTTTTTATATTATATATAAATATATAACAATAATTATATATATATATTTAATCAGTATCAGTCTACGTGTAATTTGATATTAATATATATATATATATTTATATAATTATATATATATTAATAGTAAAATACACCTAGACAGTGTATGAGTGTGTATGTATATGTGTATATATATAGTTAGATCCTATATATATAGAGTATATATATATAGGATCTAAGTATATATATATTTTTTTTTACACTTATAAATTTTATTTTCATTTTATTTCCAGCCAGCAGGGGGGACTACCTGTCATTACAGGCAGCCCCCCTGCTGGCAATGCAGGAGGCAGCCTACCCGGACATGTGATTGTGAGGTCCTCGCAAGGACCTCACTCTCACATGGCCGGGGGGCACCGGAGGAGGAGGATCTGCCGCGGGGGGGCTCCCTGGGAGTCCCCCCCACCGCAATCGCCCGCGACCGGGTAAGTAATGAAAGACCGGAGGGCGTACAATTACGCCCAGTGGTGTTTAGAGTCGCCTAAAATAGGGTGTAATTGTACGCCCTCCGGTCTTAAGGGGTTAAGCAATGCATTGCATAATACAGCAGATATTTTCCAGGTCACACCTATCCCTATGAGAAGGAAAAGTGCCTATTTTTCCTAAATTAATTAAACTATAAGCTCTAAAATATGTTGGCTAACACATGATAATGCATGCATGCTGTTGATGTTTCTGTCCATACATGCATGTGGGAAACCTTTTTGGGATATCATCAGTAGAGGCTGGACCATGATTAAAAAAAATAATAGGAGACAGAGGTTAAAGAAGATGAAGAGCAAGAGGCACAACTACTAGTGTGGAGGTGGTTGGGTTAATTATATAGAGGTGGCAATGAACTTGGGGCTATCTACTTATGGGGTTAACTCCTTCATAGTACACAATACGAGTCAGTAGACTGAGCATTTCCTGTAGGTGGTTATGTTAAGGGGCAACGTTTATAACTTGGAGGAAAGACGAGACAGAGGGGATATGATAAAAACATTTAAATACATAAAGGGAATCAACACAGTAAGGAGGAGACTATATTTAAAAAAAGAAAAATTACTATAACAAGAGGACATAGTCTTTAGAACTCCAAGGCAAAGGTTCAAAAATTATTTCAGGAAGTATTACTTTACTGAGAGGGAAATGGACATGTGTAATAGTCTTCCAGCTGAAGTGGTAGATTTGGGAGTTTATTATTAATTATTGTATACGAGCAAAATGGGTACAAAGCTTTGAGGTATTATAAAATGGGAAAGGGAGCTGAGCACAGAATTTGTATCCAGTGAATGGGTTACCGCTTTAAATCTGACAAAAAAAAAATATTCATATTTGTGACGGAGAGTCCTGTAACCCGGTTGGATGCCACCGACGGATGCTCCTAGTGCTCACCAAGGAATACGAGCACTCCTCCTGACACCATAAGCACTGCAGACACCACAACCGCCGTAGCTTGGTTGGGGTCTCGCCGTCTCCTACCCACCCTGGACCTACGACAAGGCTCCAGGTTCCAGTGGGTGAACCTCTCTTCCTTCAGAGAGTCAAAAAGGAATAGCTCTTACAAGAGCTCAGAGAATCCAGGGGATTATAATAATTATAGCAATTCCTTGTAGTTATATAGCTGTCCCCTCCACACGAGAGACAAAACTCAAGTTCAGGGTGAAGAGGAATTCCGTTTTAATAGAGGCACACTGGCCTTTTATGAAAGTTTCACAACAAGGGTGAAACCCACGTGGACTTTGCTGGGCACAGGGACACAAAGTTAACAAACCAATTAAAACAGAGTTATACAGTGAGACACCCCCATACAGTATACACAATCCCTCCCCTCTGCCTGGGAGATAATTGAGGCAGATAATGCATTAACCTAAATTATCTCAAGTCAGAAAAACCACACATTTTTACAAAGTCTTATAAGTACCCCAAAACACAACATATCCCCATAATCCCCTGATAGCCCTGATCTGGGTTAACAACATATTCAAAAATTACCCAGATCAGTACAGGGGTCCAGGAACTCCATGGAAGTCTCTTTTTGACCGACCGCATGCATGCCTTCATGCCTAAAATAGTTCCAGAGAATTAGGCTGTGCGGATGGTCTATTTCAACAGTCAAAGTAACGTTCAATTCATGTAATTCTAGTCAAACCTAAGTGGAGGTGGAAGTCCCAGTGGTGTTCGTGCCGTCAAGTGTCCGATTTTACTTCCATGCACTCTACGACAAAACACCGCTTGACGCGTTCGACTAGACAAATGGCCGCCGCCACGTGTTCGACTATACGAACGGTGACCACCCAGCTATTCGTCAATTAAGCTGCGGTTAACCACAGCTTCTGGGAGATTAACGAGCAGCAAACTCCACTCGCGGGTGGTCTGACTGTTCGACAGTTCGAAGTGCCACTTCGAACCACTTCGGAAATTCGAAGTGCTAACTTCAAATGCCGAAGAGGGCACAAACAGTGTCCCTGAACACAATATATCCCAGGGGCAATAGTCACAGGGTTAGAGGCAGGCAAGAAGGCCCCTCTAAGTTGCTTTCGTCACATTAGTATTTCACTGTTTGAAAATTATCTCGAACTATAACACAGATGGTATCTGACACCAGACAGGTTAAGTAAGTTTCAACTCAACATTAGTGATCTTTGTTGGAGATGCGAGAGGGAAACTGGAACTATACGGCATACATGGTGGGAATGTACCTTCCTATTACCTTCGAAGGTCAAGTTAGAAAATGAACTTACAAGTTTAACACAGTCCCATATTGAACTGACCCCCCAACTCTTTTTGTTCCATTTGGATTTCCCCAAAATTGAAAGAAGAAATACATTTTTTAATTGTGCATATATTAATGGCCACCAAAGTCGGTTTGGTGAGAAAATTGAGATTTTCTACGTCAGCGTATTTGTATTTGAATCACCTATTTTATCACCGAAGAATTGACACAATGATGACACACAAGAATAAAATCTGACCAGCTCATAATTTCTAAATCTAAGTATCTAAAAAAAAAAAAAAAAAGTTTGGGAGTTTGGGTTTAAGCATGCATAGAATAGGCATAATGCTAGGGACTAATGACTGTATTAGAAAACTGGGCAACAATGGTTCTTATCTCCTGTCACATTCTCTGTTTTTATGTTATTCTCTGGCATGGGGTATAAAATATGATCCAGGTGTCAATGCATCTTCTGACCCAATAGGTAAGAGGGTTATTTTTTTTGTCTGATTGTAATAAAACTGAGACAAGGCATCTGCTAGCCTCCCTTACTGGACAAGTAAAAAATAAAAAAAAATGTACTCTAGTAAATCAAGCTGTAAGAGAACAAAAAGGAGAGCTGGTGTAAAAATAGGCAAATACGACTTGTGTATGAAAGAGAAAATAGAACTTGGTGAAAGAAGAATGATAGATAAAGAGAGATGGCAGAAAAATAGTGGGATAAAGAAAAATGGGTTCTTCTAGGACACAAACCCTGGTCTCTTAATGCCACCGAGTTTATGTGGAAGCTTCACTGTTTTGACTTCGTCATGATTGAGGTATCATGGTAGAACAATGGGACGGAGTGATTGCTCTCCTACTCTGCTGATTTACAAAAATAATATTGCCCTCACAGCAAATCCCTTTTACTTTTCATTTTAATTAGATTTTTCTTCCTTACTTCCTCTTGTTTCATTTCTCTTGTCACTATCTTCTAACCTACAATCTCAGTTTCACAAGTTTCACTTCCCTTTCCAGTTTCTTTATTTTTAAAACTCTATAGTTAGCAAAATGTATTTCCTTTATTTTATTTTTAATGTTGGAGCCTGGATATTCACTCTGCCTACCTTTATTTGGAGTCAATATCCTCAAATTTGACAATATTCTAATACAGGTTCTACCTGAACGCATATAAAGTGGCATTCTAAACACCATCACCATCTGCCCTCTGCTTTTCTGTCAAACTATTTCGGAGTCGGGTATTACAGATAACCTAGTTACTAAAAGATAAATAACTAACAGATTATAGAAACAAGTCTTCAGCGAAGGATAATAGAAGTGCTACCATTGTGCTGAAACCTCTGTGGCCGATATCACACACAATCTGTATTTCCTGCTTAGTGTTACATCGGATGCATATTGTAACAGGAGCATATTGAATAAACTAGCTGAAAAATATCTGTTTTATAAGACTAATAGGGTGAGAATTCTCTAAATCCTATTTTCTTATCTCTTATTTTTTTGTCTGTTCACCCCATAATAAAGTGCAATATAGAGAGGTGTCACGAGGTGGAGGCCGTAGCCAGGAAAAGACATCTAGCATTTAGTAACCTGCAGTCACAGCGCTACACAGGTATGGATGTGGAATGTAAGAACGCAGTCTTAAACCTTCTAATTTAAAGAACCATGAAACGTGGCCAGCTTCCACATGCTAATATAGCAGAAAGGCTACAATATTAAGCTTGTCTACAGTTGCTGAATTTTAATTATCATCATCCGTAGGCCCACTGTTTAAACCGCCTGTCACTCTACTCTGCTCTTACTACTCTTTCTCTCCATTGGACGAGGCTGAGATTTCCTCCTATTGTCTGGCAGCTGTCTGGGAATTAGTGATATTTGTCTGTGTTGTATTTCCAGGCAGACTCCATACTATCACATAACACAGACTGTGCTAGATACAAGAGCATCCCCAAACGCTTCCTGTTCTGAAACTACACTCTGGCCTAGAGGGAAATCCACACATCAAGGCCGGTAGGTTTACAGAGTTTTCAAAGGCCCATGACGAAACTGTTTAAAAAATATTTATCGTAGTGGTTCTCCACAAAAACACCTCAAATATGGCCTCTTATCATAACTCTTGCAATGTGTACACACACACACACTCTCTCTCTTACGTACACACTGTCTTTTCTACACACATACACAAGCAAAATCACCTCTTGCAGGTTATGTAGAACATGCTACCTCTAGGACTGGTACATGTTATACAGAATCTTAAATCTAGGACTGGTACATGTTATACAGAATCTGTATCCCTAGAAATTGTTTTTTTGCTTCTTTTGCACTGCAAATGATCTTATTTTTCTCCTTTTTATCAGGTGAGCAAGACCCTATTTTTGCACCTCTACTGGATGTGTCTTTCTTCTCTGCTTTCTTTTGGGTCCATATCTGGAGTCCACCATGAGTAGCTTGTGTGAGGACACGAATGTCCATACAATTAGAGCAGATCTATTTTAGGCTCTTCTTCTTGTGAGTGTGTTTTAGTCCCATGACTAAAACTTTTACAATTAAAGTATTAATTTATACTATTGCTGTTTTTCTTTTCCTTTTATATGCGGAGTTAACATCCTAAGAAAGGAAAGTTTACATTTTCAGTGCACCACTTGCATGTTTTTTTTTTAGCCATTTCATATTTGTTAGCAACTTTTAAAAATCAGTTGTTATTTATTTAATGTTTCAACAAATAAGTGCTTGTTCATTCTTTGATGTTCTCTAAATATCCCTATTGTAGTATCAGTGTAAATATATCAAGCACTGATTGTGTTGATAACACTCAGGGTTCCCAAAAAGAAGAAATTATCAATTATCTAGTGGCCACAGCAAATTTCTGCAGTTTTAGACATTAATTTTGAAAAAAAAAATCTGAATTTATTTATTTATTTAACAACTTTTATATAGTGCCCTCATCCATTTATGTAATCTTCTTCCACTGTCCTTTTAGACTTTAGGACCTCTGTCTTCACATGGTGAATAAAGAAGCCTAATGAAATTATAAGGATGCACACAGATAACGCAAGCCGTACAACAGTAATAGTTGAGTATTTCTTTGGAAATCGTTCTTTGTTTGGTGTTCGGTCTGAAAAAAAAAGTCCAAGTAAAATGTCAATTGTTATCAGCGAAAATCGTAAACTTTGTAATAATAATAATAACAAAAAAAGATAGGTTTTTTTGTCTCTTCTTTGATCTTAACATGGGAACGTCATACAGTAACACCATTCATCTGATCTCTAAATGTTTATCTAGTTTTTCGATTACAGGTTGACGTATAAATACACCCTTATCCACGCAGACTGATATCTACCAGTACATACAGATATAGGCATGCACTATCTCTGTCCACACCTGGTGATTATTAGAACAAAAATATATATTTTGTAACTCATTTTTTTAAACTAGTATTTTTAGAGTAACATTAAGATGATACATTTCTCATGGTATGCATGCCTTTCAAGGTTGTCTTTTTATCAGAAAAATAAACATAGATAATAATATAATATACATAATTCAAGGATTTTACTATTATCATGACCGAAACTCATTATTTTATTAAAGAGACAGAGGCAAGTATTATGCTGCACTCTTTCTTTAATTCCCTCAGCAGCAAAGAAAAAACAATTGAAAAACAGGTATAAACATTATAATGACAAGGTCCACCTAGTAACATCCAATCAGTGACATCCTTATCCTATATGGAGCATTGATGACCATTTCCTCTTTCTTGCAAATTCCAAAGAAAAACTCAAACTCGGAACAGGAAAACCGAATAAACCAAACGAGCTGGAACAAGGCATGTGATCTAGAGAGGCCTTGCAACAAAATCACGCTAAAAGAAACAAGAAAATATGGTAATGTCTAGAAAACATGGGCTGTCAGCAAATATAGAGATCTAAGCGCCTGACTAATCAGTGACAATAACTCTTAAATGTAGTAATAAGAAACTATTAATCTGAGGATAACTAATAAGGTCCCTTAATTAAACTACACCCTAAAGCAATGTTTTGACCCAGCGAGCCAAGGTAGGAGAGGATACTGCAGTTTACGAAAGTAAATGAAGAGTTGGGAGACCAAACCAGTCCTAAGGGGGGGGCGGTACGTACTTTGTATGCCTGAAGACACGCTACTGGGCAAAGGAGCGGCTTCATGGGAAAAACTGGGTATAGGACCAACAGGGAGGACGATTTTGTCCTCCGTGAAATGTCAAAAATGACTCCTTTGGAGACAAAGAGCAAGCATTGACAGTGAGTGCTCTAACATCTGATACTCTTTTGCATGAGATCAGGCACAATAGCATGACCAGTTTAGCCGAGAGCTGCTTTAAGGATAAAGACTCATTGTCTGGTCAAAGAGTCAGAAAATTTTATAACAGAGAGACGTCCCATAGGGAGGAATAGCAAGGCACGGGTGGCCTTGCGAAGCGAATGCCGCGGAGAAGATGACAGATGAGTGGGTGTCGTCCTATTGGGGCACCGTCAATCCCGGGGTGGCTGGCTGAAATAGCTGAGTGGTAGAGGTTTACCGTCCGATAAGCTTTCCCGTTATCATTAAGGGAAGTCAGAAATAAGAGGACAGTCGACACAGGAGTTGATAGGGGATCTGCACCCCATGCCATGCACCAACCATCCCATGTGCGCCAATCAGACTTGTAAGACAGTCTTGTGCCGGGTGCCCATGCACCCTTGAGAAGCCAGAGAGTCGATTATGATACTCCCTCCCTCGATCAACCAGGGTCCCCGGAAATTAGTCACGCCATGAGACGGAGGAGACCCTGGAAGGTCAGGGGGTGGAGGGTCCCGTACAAGAGATTGGGAGTCCGGGAGGAGCCGTGGGTGATTTATA